CCTAGACCATCCTGCATCAGGATGATGAAGTTGAAGTTCTGCTCCCTGCTCAGGGTTTATTATTTCTTTTTTCTTTTTTGGTACCAGGGATGGAACTCAGGACCTTACACTTTCGAGGCAGGCAGTGGAACCACTGAGCTAAATCCCCGGCCCTGTTATTTCTTTTTAATCAGGAAAGGATGTTTGATTTTGTCACCTGTCTTTTCTGCATCTGCTCATATATTTGAAGTTTTCAGTTTGCTAGTGGTAAATTACATTGATTGCCTTCAGAATATTAAACCAGCTATGGATTCTTTTTTGTTTCTTTGGGTCAGGGTCTGATTATGTAGCCCAGGCTGACCTTGAATTCACAGCAATCCTCTACCTCAGCCTCCCAAATGCTGGGATTACAGGTGTGCACCACCATGCCTAGCTTGGATTTATTCATTTTTGCCATTGGTTGTCTTTTCTATTTCACTAATTACCACTCTGATACTTGCAATTTCTCATTTCTTTTGCTTCATTTGTTCTTCCTTGTCTAATGTTTAATTTTGAAGCTGACATCATTAGAGACCTTTCTTCTTTTCTGTACATTTTCTTGTTTTTGTACTGGAGATCAAACTCAGGACCTTGTGCTTGCCAGGCAGATGTGGCACCACTGAGCTACATCCTGCACCCTCTTCTTTTCTAATATAGGTGGTTACTACAAATCTCCTTTCAGGTACTACTTTCACTGCATCCCACCAACCCCAGAGCCTTCAGCCTGAGCCACATTCCCAGCCTCTTTTCTTTTCTGGGATGGAGTCTCACTAAATTGCCCCGGGGGGCTCCAACTTGTGGTCTTCTTGCCTTAGCCTCCAAGAGTGCTGAGATTACAGGCAAGCAGCATCATGCTCGGCTCTCAAAAATTCTGATAGATTGTTTCATTTCTCTTCAGTCCAGAATACTTTCTAAGCTCCATTTATGTACGTGTTTATTTAAAACGGTGTCTTGCTGTGCAGTTTTAGCTGGCCTTGAATTCACTGTGTAACCCAGCCTGGCCTTGAACTCATGGCCATGTTCTTGCCTCAGCTGAGATTCCTGGCATGCACCACCATGCCCGGCTCTAAGCTCCATCTTAGATGGCTTATTAGAAAAAACAGGTATTTTACACATTTGGTGTATCTCACGGCTGAGTACCGGTCATTCAGGATGAAGGCCAAAATAGGGAGTTTGTACATGAAACACTGCTGCATACTGAGGTACAGTACTTCTTTTGGGGAAAAGCATTTGCATGATTGAGTCATGAGCTGAACAGTTCCTTTAACACCATCTCAGAGAATGACTGACAAACTATGCTTACTCAGATTTGGGCATTTTCTAAAACTGAACAAAGCAAGCCTATCATTTAAGAACAACTGGTGGGGGATTTAGCTCAATGGTTCCACCTCCTGCCTCGCAAGGGCAAGGTCCTGAGTTCGATCTCTGGTACCAAAAAAAACAAAACAAAAAAGAACAACTGGCAGTGTGTTGACAATAATAAAATTTGATAATGATAAAAGTTTAAAAAATTGTTTTGGAAAATTGTGTATCTCCCATGAGCTTGACAGATTCCCGTGCTTACTGACTTCTAAGAAACAAAAGTACTAAGATTAGCCCAGTGTGCTAGGACTCGTAACCCAAGCACTCTGGGAGGGTGAGCCAAGAGGATCTGAGGTCAAGGCTAGCCTTACTGAGACACTGCCTCAAAAAATAAACAGGGCTGTGGATATAGCTCAGTGTGAAGGCCCTGGGTTCAATCCCCAGTAGCGAAAAAAATACCCCTAAAATGACACATGTGCACACGTGTATATCTGACTTTATATAACGGAAGTGAGAACCATTCTGGAGTGAGTTCGCTCACTCTTGACCTTCTGCCATGAGGACACCACAAGAAAGTCCCCACCACCTCCTGGGGTCTTCATCTTAGACTTGCCAGTCCCAGAACGGTGAGAAATCAATTTCTATTCTGTATAAATTACCAAGGCTTGTGCTTCTTGTTTTACCAGTACAAAATGAACTGAAACAACACTCTCTCTTCTCTCCTGTTGGCTTCAACAATATTTTTCTATTTTAATTACAGACAGGAGCCGGGGATTTAGCTCAGTGGTTCCGGCACCTGCTTCGAAAGCGCAAGGTCCCGAATTCGATCCCCGGTACCAAAAAACCCAAACAAACAAAAAAACACATTAATTACAGACAGGAAATGTCACAGTAAGATATCTGTTCCGCATTAAGTGTGTTCTTGTGGATTGCAAACTGATCTCTGAGAAGAGGAAGGGAGAGAAGATGAAGGGAACACCCTTCACTGGTGTAGCAGCCTCAAGAGTTGGGGTCCGCAGGTGCCCCAAGAAGGGGGCATCCGGGCACTAGAATGATTGTCTGTCGTGATGGAAGTGGCACATCCACTCTATGCATTGGGATTTATGCCCTTAAGGCCATTTCAGCAGATGAGGTTTGGCAGGGAGGAGAAATGAAGAAGCTGTGTCAATTTCTGGTGAGGAAGAAGAGTTGGGGTGTGTTTGGCAGCAATGAAAGAAATAGATAACCCACTTTAAATGATGTTTCCAATAGTTCTGGACTCTGACTTGCTGCCTGATTCCCTGCTGACAGTGTATGGGGTTAAGATGATGCTGGAGAGGAGGAAGATTTTGAAGGAAGTCCCAATGCAGCTCTCTGGGGAGGCGTCTGGCTCCTCAGTCTGCTGGTCAGCATGGATAATCTGAGGTCAAAGTGAACCAGCACAGGAAGCCTGGCCTCATCCAGACCCTTGGCAGGGCTCCTGTTTGCTCTCATGGCCAGCTTCAGCAGGACTCAGAATTCATTATCCTCATCACTTCAGTTTTGAAGTTTAACCCCTTGAATAACATACAGTGAGTCTGGTGGTGCAGGATCTAAGTGGGGAAGGAAGGGGAAGGCTTATGTATGGTTTGGAAAGGAAATGGGTACAATCACTCTGAAGACAGCTTGGGAACCTGTAGTGCAGTTGAAGATACACCCTAGGTCTCAGCAGCTACACAGCTCTCTGAGACAAGTATCTGCACAAGAAATAAATGTCATTTCAGACATCATACATTCTTGGATCTTAGCTTACTCTAACACACATTTTCCATCTAAAAGAGGGCTAAGGCTGGGGATTTAGCTCAGTGGTTCCGGCGCCTACCTCGCAAGCTCAAGATCTCAAGTTCGATCCCTGGTACCAAAAATAAATAAAACTAAGAGGGATAAATTGTAATAAACTCAGAGCAGAATACCAGCTTTATATAATATATATACAATATGTCAAAAGCACCTATAAGTAATGCTTTTCCAGGCTTCTTTTTGTACATGTGTGTCCACATTAGTATTTCTGTATTATGAAAACATTAGCAATAATAATAAACCCAAATTGGGGTACTGCTTCTTGGATCCAGAAGGACATCAACTAAATGTGTAATCAACTGTTTCTTAAGGTAGATAGTGAGTTGTACCTTTCTTCTTCTGTTATCTGAAATAGTTCTTAAAAACAGTTTGTACCAAAAAGAATAACCTGCCCGTCTTCTTATTAGGGTGCCCTTTAGAAATGTTATTTTTGCTTTGCCTTACATTTTGATGTTGCTGCACCCTCTTGTGACTTCTGGACCTCTCCAACCAGGCTCCTTCATTCTTTGGTTTTGTTTTTTTGTGTATTTTTTGGTACCGGGGATCGGACTCGGGTCCTTGTGCTTGCAAGGCAGGCGGTGAAACCATTGAGCTAAATCCCCGGCCCCCGGCTCCTTCATTCTTAAAGAAAATGTACAGCCAAAGTTGTCATCAGACTCACATTTTCCTGGCTCGGCTATGAGTGCCGGGACTCTAGGTGAATGCCACACCACACTCTTGCACTTGAGTACATGGCACCCCACATCCAGATGCTGAGCCAGCAGCATGGCTTCTCTTCATATCAGTCCTACTGTCCTGTGTCACCAGCTTCACCTTCCCTCCCTCGCCCATATTTCCTCATCATTCTACAACTGCCCTGTAGCTGCATGCCGCTGCCTGTTCTTGAGCTCACTGAGTTTATGTCCATTTTAGGGCAGGTTTCCCATCTTCCTATTCACTTTGCCCTCTGCCTGGAATGTTTTCTTCCCCACTGTAGTCTTCATTTTATCATTCAAGCCTAACCCTCATTTTTGCCTCGATTTCTCTAACATTACCACCATGCTTAAATTTCTTCATAGCAAAGCACACAAAAAGTAGATTGGCATCTGAGTTGGCAACCCACTGCCCACCGGGGCTGTGGATTTCAAAGGACCTTATCTGATAGGATTCACCCTTTCCTGTCTTTAGGGCCTCACTCTGAAAGGCATAGCCAGGACCAATATATGAGGTCTATGGTCCAGGATGCTAACAAATGAAAATGCACTGAGACAGAAGGAAGTAATCCATTCCTCCATTAGATTTTTTGTTTTGTTTTTTTTTTTGTTTAACAGTTTGTTTGTTTTTTTGGTACTGGGGATTGAACTCGAGACCTTGCGCTTGCGAGGCAGGCGCCAGGACCACTGAGCTAAATCCCCGGCCCTCCTCCATTAGATTTTGGGGACAGTGACGGGGCCGGGTGAAGAGCGGAATCGTAAGAATCCAAGGGCCCAGACCCCTATCAGCCCAAGATACAGTTCTTTTTGGGGTTTCCTATCCACAGGGAATAGGGCTTCAGATTGGTCTTGGATACCAATGTTTTCTAAGTTTTTTCTTTCTGCTTTCAGTTCACAAATGATGGTATCGAATAAACACCAACTGCATGTTAGTAAAAGCCCTAAACTTCTGCATTAAAAGTACTTATATTATTTGAACAGTACTATAGACAGGAGTGGTAAATCAGAAGAGTGATGTGGCAGATAATTCAGCATATTGAAACAATAATAAAATCAATGGATAAGGGTCAGGGATTTAGCTCAGTGGTTCCAGCACCTGCCTCAAAAGCGCAAGTTCCCAAGTTCTATCCCTAGTACCAAAAAAAAAAAAAAACCAAAACAAAGCAAAAATCAATGGATAAATTATAACCAGAAGTAGGCTTTTATTTTTTAATAACACAAAGAAATCATATATTTAACAAAAAATATTAAAGCTAGGAGTGAAAGGCACATGGAAGGGTAAGTCTTTTTAGTCCAGTTTTCAATAAATTCATTTTACCTAGAAATAAGAATGACAATTCACAAATTTATTGTGAGGTTTTTCATCACTAACCTTTTCTGCAAAGCATGGTTGAGTCTATCTTTCCACAGAGGGGCAATGTTAAAATATCAAAATACACTGAGCTGTACCAAGATTCACATTCCAGTAAATCACTGGTCTAGCTTCCAGCTGCCATAAAATGCAAAAAGTACAACTTGAATCAATAAAAGTCTGTAATAATTTAAAATATGATGCTCAGTTCTATTAAATGGGCATAAATATGATTATATAAATGACAAAAGGTCCTTTGTAAATGCTAGCATACACATGTAAGGATAACTAAGTCCCCTAAAAGTCCTGTATAGTCCTTGGTATAATTATATAACTTTGTCCTCTTAGAATATCAGGTGCTGCCGGAGCAATAGATGGCACAAGACTCAAAAATATTTTACCCTAGGAGTATTCAGTCTAATTCCTTAGAGGGTTTTCTAGTGTCTAGGGTCCAGTTCTTATTTCATCTGTTACTTTCGGGATCCCTTTGGATGTTGGCTTGGAGTCTAGGGGAGGGTGCAGTGTGGTCTTCAGAGCACCCTGTTCCTTGGGGCTCCAGTCCCTCCTGGATTGCAGTTGGCGCCTCCCCCTCATTATGGATTCTTGGTACCACTGCCTCTGCTTGAGCTGCTGCTTCTGGTTTTCTAACTGGCTCTGAATAGCTTCCAGTTTCTGGGCTTCCTGAAGGAGTGGCTTTAATTTCTTCCTCACTTGCTGGTTTTCTCTATAGAGGCCGCGGCAGAATTCAAAATGAGACTTCTGTGCTGTGTACTCCAAGGCCTGGGCTTTCCCGGGGAGCTTCCCTCTTTTTCTCTCCCCTAACTGCTTCCACACCAGGTCCAACTCTTTGATTTCTTGCTCCAGGAGGGCTTTATGCTGGAGGAACTGGAAGTGTGCCTCCCGGTCCTTCACGTGCAGCTCGGCTGGGACCCTCTCTATCTGCTCCTGCAAGGTCTGTATTCTCCTGTCCTGTCTCTCCTGGATGGTGGCAATATTCCTCAGAGCCTGCAACCACTGCTCCAATTTGTACTGGACCTTTTCCCCCCGCAAGAGCTGAGATTTCAGCTCTGAGGTTTCTTTCTCATATCTGGAGACTAATTCTTGTTTCCTCCGTTCCAGCTCCTGGTATTGTTGGAAATACTCTTTCCACAGCTCCTCACACTTTCTCTCCCGGTGCTTACTGTTTTCAGTCAGGTAGTCCAGAATGGATTTGCTTTCAGCCTCCACGAGGACCTTTTCCTTCTGCAGCTGCCTGTTTTCCTCCAGCAGCCAGTGCTGCCTCATCTGAGCTTCTTGGATTTGGTCGTTCCGTTTCCTCAGGGCCACTACAACCTTTCCTTTCAGTCTCTTCTCCCTCTTCGTTAGTTTCTCTGGCGGCAGGCATTGATGGAGAAGTATAAGATATGCCGATGGTGGAGGGGAACTTGCGCCGGTCTCAGCAAACCTGAAGGAAGAGGATAGGAGACATTCCCTTACCAGTTCTTAATCACAATGTAAGAAATAATGTTAAGAAGGCACAGGGCCAGGGATTTAGCTCAGTGGTTCTGGCGCCTGCCTTGCAAGCGCAAGATCCCGAGTTCGATTCCCGGTACCAAAAAACCCCAAACAAACAAAAAGAAGGCACAAGTGTCCGTTATTCATAGAAAAGATCTTTTCAAACACACATTACGTTGCAGACACTGTGCCAGGAACGGGCAAAGAGCTAGGTGTAAACATGGGGAATGTGGCTTCCTGTGTACACCGTGCATTCCCTCCAACTTTGAGCAATCTGATCTCAGTATTCCAAAGGAGAAAACAGGCTCAGAATCTTTAAGTGACCCGTGCACGACATAACACCGTTACAAGTGGCAGTCTGGGTGTGAAACTCGGTGTGTACGTCTCTCAGATTCTACTGTAGCAGCTACGAAGGGCCGTGGAGGGTCAGTCCGGAGGAATTTCCTGGGCTGGGTGAGCAATGTTCCCACGTCTCTGAGACCCTCTCCATGGGAGTCGAGCGCGCCCTGGGGACTTACACGCTCTCAGGATCGAGGCGCCCACTAGTGCATCTCTGCAGGTCACTGAGGGTGAAGACCGAGGAGCACGGGCTGGTGGCAGCGGTCGGCCGATCGCGGGCACAGCGTCCAGAGGCGGGGACTTCCCACCCGGGCGTCGCCCCGCGGTCCCAACGCTTCTGCGGGGTGCGGGGCGTCCGGAGGTCGCACACCCCCCTGGTGCTGACTCTTGCAGCCCTCAGCTGTTTAATCTCCGCTGTCACAGGAGCCCTAGCGCCCGGCCCTCCGGCGGCTCCCTTCAGCTCTCTCGGGAGGATGCGAGCTCTCCCGCGCGGGGTCGGGGATGGGCCGGATCGCCGCGCTGGGGATCCCATCTCGTCTCGCCCCGTGACGACCACGGCGCTGTCCCTCGCAGGTCCTAGCCCCTGAGGGTCGCGTCCTCTTGCTGGCTGTCTGCTGACGCCCCACTTCGCGGCCAGGGTCACCAGTCAGCCCCCGGCGCGTTCAGACTCACAGAGGTCGCCCTCCGACAGGGGCACCGCGTCGTTGCCCTCGGTTGCTAGGATTCCAGCCACAATCGCGCAGAAGGCGCCGGAGGCCTCTCTAGCCGCGTGGCGTCTCTATGGCGGGCGGGGCGGGGCGGGGCGGGGCCAGCGGCGCCTGCGCGTTCTCCGCCTCCAAGCGGCTCCTGAGCCCTTGCGAATTTGCTGGTGTCGGGGATAACGGGAGCCGAGTGAGCCACGTCTGTTTCAAGTGACGTGATGGGCGTTAAGCTGGTAGGAGGAGCGATAGGTTGCCCGTGGCGGGCTAAGGCTAGGGAGAAAGGGAGGCCGAGTCCGGGTCCGCAGGGCCCCGGCCTGTGCTGGGGTCTGACCTGGGCGCCAGTACTTTGCTCTGTGGACCTCAGAGCCGAGCTGAGCCTCATCGGCTTTGCGCCCGCCCAGCGCATGCGTACAGCTTACCTCGAGGTTCTGAAATTGTCTGTGATGTAAAAGCCGCTCCGCTGGCTGGGCCGGGGGTAAGAATATGTAGAGCCCATAATTAAACAAAAGGGATAATAAAATTCAGAAACATGACAACGAAGCCACTCTACCCACAGCTCTGGGGAAGCTGACTGTGGGGGTGTTGGCCAGAGGTCTGTAGGAGATGGAGATGCAGAGATAAGGAATGCTTGGGGCCACAAGCCCAAAACCTGGAATGCATGGCAAAAGATTAAAAGATAGCCTGTGACAGCGACCCCCATAGGGAAAGAGCCTGTGAAGCGTTACCAGGTAGGCAGACAGTACAGATGGAAGATATTTTCTTTCCTGCTCCAAATAAACCTCCACCTCTGCTGTCAGAGTCTCCGAGGATGAAGAGGGTGGAACTGCGTTGATAGAAGGGGCATGAGAAGAACCTCCTCAGAATATTCATGAGCCACAAGTTGGCTGAGGGGCTGGGGAGGACTTGGCAGGGTGTAGACCAGTCGTGATGAACCCCTGGGCCGCGTGTTGCAGCAGGCTGTATCATTGAAAGCTCTAAAGTGTTTGTCATTACTGTTATAGACAAGTAAGGAAAGGTCCAGGGAAGAATGAAGGTGCATCTTGGTTTCCAATCTTAGTGGCGCCACCAGTTGCACCAGAGCACTGTGTCAAGACATCCAGGCCACAGTGATGTTCACAATCCTTGAAACCAAGGAGCAAAAGCAGGGTTCAGGAGGGCATTGATCCTAGCAACAGATGAGGCCTCAGGCCCCAGGAAAGTTGGGCTGATAGTCGCTGCTGCTTCCACTCTCCTTCGGTCATTTGAATATTAGGACATGTTACTCCTAAGGCTGCTTTTCATGTTTGTGGGTCTGCGTACTCCCAGCTACTTGGTACAAACAAAGCAGTTGTTTCTCTGGGAATGCCTTCTGTGGGAGGAACCCCATGCATGCTTTCTGCTCCCTTCTAGCTGGTTCCTCTTTGCCTGTGTTATCACATCCTGTCTGTCTTTACAGTGGGACTGTTTCTCCTGGCTAGCAACTGCTGCTGTAATTCGGGCTGGATCTTTTTTTTTTTTTTTTCTGGTACAGGGCATCGAACTCAGGTCCTTGCACTTTTGGGGCAGGCAGTGGAACCACTGAGCTAAATCCCCAGCCCCCAGGCTGGATCTTTACACCCTGCCAGGACCTGAGGACCTGGTGAGACAGATGAAGGGCCTAACTCCCCAAACGGTACTTTTATCCAGCCAGTGCTCCTCAAGCCTTGCTGCAACTGGGCTGCATCCAGCCCCATGGCCTTCTGGGAGATACTTGCTCTGCCCCAGCACAGTCATGAACCTAACACATAGGATTGTGTCCTGGTGTCCCCCTGGATGAGTCCTGGTGTCCTCCTCTGGGTGATCGCCCCCCTGCCGCCCTCTTCAGGCAGGTCTGCAAAGGGCCATTTCCCTCCCCAAGGCCACGCAGAAAGTCCTACACTGTGCTGCTGAGCCTTCTTGTTTTCCTTGGTAAGCAGACTCATCATACTCTTAGTGGATTCAGCCTGCTGTTCCTCCTTGTGCTGCCGCAGAAGTCCTAATAAAACCTCTCCCACATGGCCTGTTCACCCCTACTCATGGATTCTGTCTTGAGTAGAGCACACTAAGCTGGTCCCCAAAGCCATCAGCAGCTGGGATTGGTAACCCTGAATGGGGCAGGGAGGAGAGCACCTGAAAATTGACAGGAGCTGCCATCTCCAGGGGCCAGAGGGGTTCCCCCGAACTGACAGTAGCTGCTGGCTCTGAGCAGAAGCAGAGCCGCTAACATTAAAAAAGCTGAGAGCCACTGGTATTCAAAGCCCAGAGCTGTGAACACTGCCAGAGCTACATGTTGCCAATTTGTGATTTCAGTAGAAGTGGCTGGAAAGAAAACCCATCTGTACCTCCTGACCTTTGAGGATGCTTCATGGTCTCTTTCCCCATGGTGGGGCTTCCCCAGGGCTGTGGTCAGAGCAGCCTCATTGTCCGGGTTTCCCCTTTTGTATAAATACAATCTTATGCATTCTCACCTATTTTGCAGGTGAAACATAACCTCAATGTGGCAAATAGTACCTTTCCAATTCCGAAAGGCTGTTGCCCGCGCTTAACCCTCTGTGTTCCTTGAAATAGCTTTAACATGAGTGCTTTCGTGAAGACCACTTGCTAACAAGGCACTTTGGAACCTGGACAAGATACAGCCAGGATACTTAGGGGTTTTTTTCAATCCCCACTACTAAGGATCAAACCCAGGGCCTCACACATGCTGGCTCAGCTATCTGTCATTGAGTGACATCCCAAGCACTCTTTTTATTTTACTTATATATTCATTCATTCATTTTGAGACACAATCTTGCTGAATCACCTGGGCTGGCCTCCAACTTTTGATCCTTCTCCCTCAACCTCCTGAGTAGCTGGAATTACAGTCATGTACCCAAGTCCAGCCAGAATCGGTAGTTTCAAAAGTGGTAAAGGAGGGCCGGGGATTTGACTCAGCGGTTTCGCCACCTGCTGCGCAAGCGCAAGGACCGGAGTTCGATCCCCGGTACCAAAAAAAAAAAAAAAAAAGTGGTAAAGGAAATGATGTGTCCACTCTACATTCTCATCAGCATTTGTGCCATTAGGAAACCTTTCAGTAGATGCCAGCTGGCAAGGAGGAGAAATGAAGTTATGTTGATTTGGCAGTGACAGAAGTAAATAACTCTCACTTAGTATGATGTTTCCAGTTTGTTTGTTTCTTTGTTATTCCCTCCAATCTGCTGCTTGATTCCTTGTGGGCACTGCGTGGGGCAAAGCTGATGGGGATGGGGATGGGTGACGTTGAAGTCAGTTCCAAATGGCTGGGCATGGAGGTGCATATCCAGCCCGGGCAAGTTGGCAACAAGACCCTATTTCAAAATAAAGAAAAAGAGCTGGGGATATGGCTCAGTGTGAGGGCTGAGTTCAATCCCTAGCATTGCAGATGATAAATAAGCCAGGAGTAGTGGCACACGCTTGTAATCCCAGCAGTCTGGGAAACTCAGGGAGGAGGATCCCAAGTTCAATCCCAGCTTGGGCATCTTAGTCTAAACATAAAAAAGTCTAGTGATGTAGCTCAGTGTGAACCCTTTGACTTGAACCCTGGTACCAGCAAAAATAAAGATAGAGAAAGAAGGAAAAAAGAGTAAGAAGTCCCAAATGTAGTTATTTCTGCAGTCCTTTAGCTCCTGAAATCTGATTAGAATGAAAAATTTGAGGCTACAGTGAATTGGTACAAGAAACCTCTCCTGTCTGATGCAGGCCTCTCGTACGAGTGGGGCTTGAACTCCATTTACACATGTACACACACACACACTGGGCACAATTCCTCTCTTTGGCCACAGCCATTCACCAAGGAGGAAGCCAGCCTTCTCAGGGGAAAGAAGGCTCTGCAATTGGACTAAGCATACCCCAGGAGAGGCTGCCTCTCATCTGGACTCATTAGCCTGTCACCCAGCAGAGGAACGGAGTGCGGGATTTTCAAGCCTCATCACTTCCATTCTCTCTTGGGCTTTTATGTAATCAGTCTGACCCTAGGCGGGGAGAGCAGAGGTCGCTGAGCAGATTGGGGGCTGACTGTGAAAGGCTGTGGGGTACTGTTCCTGCCCCAGCTCCAGCATGAGAGTGCCCGAGAACTAGGCGTGAGGCTTTGGTCCTCGAAATGGACAGGTGAGAATCAGGAAAGGCTACTGGTCGCATTGATGTGCTGAGAAACCATTTGGAGAATGCACGCTTGTGTCAGGAGCGCAGGCTGTTAACTATTGTGCTGCAAGTGCCAGAAGGAACTCACTGTCCCTAGGAGCTGAACCCGAAGCCAAAGTTGGAGAATCTCCAGAGAAAGGCAGCGTGAGCCATTCAGGACTGGAGCCCAGCAGTCTCATTGAGGCTAATACAGCAGGGACAAGCAGTGAAATACGGCCTCAGGAAGCTTTAGGTTGCTGTTTAGGTTAACAAGGTGCAGCAGAACCCTTGGCATCAGCCAGGGACAAACTTATACAAAAGAATGATGTTTAATGGTACCCAAATAAAATTCTCTTAACCACAAGTACCACAAATGATTAACTTGTCTTTTTTCTTTTTCTCTTTTTGGTACCAGGGATCAAACTTGGGATCTTGCGCTTACCAGGCAGGCGATAGAACCACTGAGCTAAATCCCCAGCCCCATTTTCTTTCTTTTTTTTATAACAATTTTTTATTTTGAGACAGAGTCTCACTAAGTTGGCCAGGTGGGACTCAAATTTGTCATCCTCCTGCCTCAGCCTCTCAGTGCAGGGATTACAGGTGTGCACCACTGCAGCAGACAACATCTGTGGGCCGCTTAGAGAGTGTTTCATACACTGCGCTCGTCCACGTAATGTAAGACTCTGATGAGTCTGGAGGTGGCACAGTGAACATCTACGTCAAGTTCCAAGAAAAAAGGCCTGCAAAAAATGTTTTGCACATTTCAGATCACTTGTGACACATTTTAAAAATCCAGTCTCATTTCGAATAAAAGGGATACAGTTCATTCCACCGATGCAGCATGAAAAGAGTGCAAACAGCTCACGTCAGTTAGAATCGTCGAACCAAAGAGTAAACAGACTTGATCCATACACCTGTCCGCCACCGCAGCCGCAGCAGCAGCAGCAACAGTACGCGTTTCCTTTTCCTTCGCGGTGAACGTGCTAGCCAGGTCGTTCCGAACTTCACACACACGTCCTCGCTTCCTTTCTAAAGGAATCCTGCTCAAGATGGCCCTGCTTCAGATGCCAGCCGTGCGACTGAGGAGCCACCTTTGCCCAGAGGCGGCACGGCAGGAAGTAGCCTGAAACCCAGTGCAGTGCTTCGGGAGAAAGCCAAGGTACCGCTGGCGATTTGCATTTTCATTCTTTCTATGCTGATTAGCTTGCCATTCGTTTGGGGCGTCTTCTGTATCTGTCTCTCTCTCTCTGCCCTCTGGCTTTATCTCATTCTTTCTCATCCTCTGTGTTATCTAAAATTGGATTGCTTTGCTTGGCGTGTGTAAGAAAAGCAGCAATCAAAACCAGACACTCTGAAAGCCTGGGCTGCCCTAAAGACCAAATTGGATTAATTATGTCTCCTCAAGCTTTGAGAACACTTTAAAAAGAAAGAAAGCCTCGAGAACTGAAAACTCAAGTTCAGTGACCCTGAGATGACTCGGCTCGTTTGCATATCTAAGGACAGTTTTCAAAGGGTAGAAAAGACAGGTGTTTTTCTGGAGCTTTTTATTTGAATAACTTGTTTGCCTAGGAGAATCAACAGAGCCCTCAACATGTGAGTGCAGTTCCAGCGCTGAGCCCTCAGAGGCAAATTCTCAGGTTGATTCTCATGGCTCGAGGAATGTGTTTGGGAGCCCAGAGGTTAGAGAAGCCCCATCCACTGTCCCTCCTCAGGCCCAGAAGGTGCCATGGAACAAGAATACAGAGGGTTTGTTTCCAGGGTGAAATGTGTTTCTCTCCATAATATCCTGAAGCAGATACTTTCCAGCTGTTGACGTTTAGGGTCAGCTTGGTCTCTGTCCAGGGCCATCCTGTGCTTAAGTTCAGCAGCAGCACTGGCCTCTACCCGCTAGAGGCCCAAGGCACATGCACACGTGCATGCGCGCGCACACACACACACACACACACACACACACACACACACACATTGTGACAACAAAAATACTTTCTCAAATCGCCAAGCATAACCTGGGGAACGTTAACCCGTACTGAAATGACTCCTTTAGAGAAGGGGCTGGAATAAATATTACATCCCAGACATACATATAAGACATAAATCTTAAGTGTGTTAACGTAGGTAGGGAGAGATGATGTTTTAGAAAAATCATATAGGCCAGTCGTGGTAGTGCATGCCTGCAATCCCAGCAGTCTGGGAGCCCAAAGCAGGAGACTCACAAGCTCAAATCCAGCCTGGGTGATATAGCAATTCAGTGAGACTCTATTCAAAATAATTTTAAAAAGAGGGCTGTTCATGTAGCTCAGTGCAAAGTCCTGGGTTCGATTCCCAGTGCATGGCTGGTGTATGTGTGTGTGGGGGGGTATGGCAATTGCTTCACTTCCCCAGCTTCCAGAGTACTATGCCAGGGTGTGACTTCCTCCAAACTAAAAGCTTCAGAAAGGCAGGAACAATGTGTATCTTATTTACTGCTGCAGTCATAAGACCCAGAAATGTGCTTGGAACATAGTGGGTGCTTTAAGAAGTTGTGACATTTTTACTACTTAATTAACAGGTATATATCAAATATTACGACATTCATACAAAGCACTAGTAGGATAGACACTAAAGTAAAACTCTTTAATAAGTAAATTCAGATATCACATCATTGTTTTTTCCAAGTTTTATGGGAATGAACTAAAATTCCTTCTAACCCCGGCCCTGGTTCTCTCTGGGAAAGTGGGGAGGCAGAGAGTGAGCCCTGTATTCCACAGGTATTCTCAGCCACACTTCCCTGGGCACCAGGTAATGGGGCGGTTCCTAGAATCATGGTTGCTGTTCTGGGCACCTTAGCCAGCTGCAGGTCCCATGTTTGTTCCCATAAATATTTAAACTAGAGTAAACAAAGCCCAGGGAGCACCCAGCTGACCGGAGACTGACAGGGATTGGACTCCCGGAGCCAGAACCTGAAAATCCAAGCCATTTCATTAACTTCTCAGTAACGTGCCCTTATATTTTACAAGACTGACCTTTCAGGTGGGGTTTTACTGTCTTGTCTCTGTGGTATCAGTGGGGAAACTGAGGCCCTACGCAGTTCAGTCACAGAACTGCTCTGTGCTTCGTGATAAGGCTGGGCCACACACGTCTTCCCGAGGAGTGCTGCTGGCGGCCGTCCCTGCAGGCCCTGGTGGCCTTGAGTGGAAGGATCCCTGTTATGGCTGTGTTCAGATGTCCCCCAAAGCCTCATGTGGACAAGGTGGGACTTTCTTTCTCAGAGGTGGTTGAATCTGGAATGTGTGATGCTGGGGTTAAGGGCGCCTGGTTACTAAACCACTACAAGTGAGTGATTGGTTTGGCACCGCCCTAATCCTGGTAGTCTGAATGAGATAAAAGGAACAGAAAGATGCTGTTAAACCCTCTTGTTGCTTTTGCTGTCTTCCGCCGCCATGAATTGAAGCCCTCTTGTTACCTTTGCTGCCCTGTGCACCATGTTGTTTTTCCTCTGTGGTGCTTGTCTGCCATCCCAGCCTCAGAGCCAGCCGATTATGGACGGAAACCTCTGTGAACTTTAAGCTAAACAAAACCCTTCCCTTTTAACTTTGAGTGTAGGGTATTTTGTCTGAGCATTGAGAGAAAAGTAACTGACACAATCACCTTCTGCACCGCACAGGCTGAAGAGGGGCAGAGGGGCAGAGGGGCAGGACAGGCATGGAGCCCAGGCTGGGGCTCAGCAGGAATGCCAAGGTGAGCCGCAGGGGCAGCAGGGCCAGCCTGGGAGCCACAGGCAGAGGCAAAGCAGGCAGCACCCACCATGGGGCTGAGCAGGACAAGGCCAGATGGGGATGTGGCCCATCTCACTGCTCCTGTGGCAGATGGGCCCACCGAGGGCACTGCCGCCTCCTCAGAGGCCTGCGGTCGGGTGGTCAGCAGGGAGCACAGCGCCGGGGAGCACAGCGCCAGGGAGCACGAGAGGTTAGTCACACACAGACAGCCACTGCTCTCCACACGCATCCTTCTCTATTTTGTGCAATGCTTTCACTTTTTAAAAATGGTACACTTTGGACCCAGGTGCAATGGCACATTCTTGCAGGTCCAGCTAGAGAGGAGGCTGAGACAGGAATCACTTGGGCCCAAGAGTTCGAGACCAGCCTGGGCAAAATGACCAGACCCCTTCTCAAAGAAACAGAGGGATGATGCTCTGGGTGACTGTGTGGTCACCCGCCTGGCTGCTGCTGCCGGATTCCAGCTGGTCACTCCCCCCGAGACGGCTGGCACTGCAACTCCACCTCTCTGACCAGACGTGCCAGAGAGGCAGCCAGGCCTGCTGTGGGAGCTGTGGACTGAACCAAGGCAACAGGACAGAAGTCAAGGCCAAATAAGCAGACAGGGTCTGCAGCCCCCAGCCCATGTGCGGGGCGGCTCCTCCTGGACAGCAGTAACCATAAGGCCCTCTTGGCATGCGGAGAGCAGGGTGGCAGTGGCCTCTCCTTCGCCTGGTCACAGCTGTGGCTTACGGAGGTGGACACTAGCCCCACGGGACACGGCTCTGTGTGCTGACGACCTGCATATTACACTATGCTCTTCTTAAGTTTTGGGGAAAATGATAAATGAATGGTTGAACCTATTACATGCCTTCCCTGATAATGTGAACTTGCAATATATATTGCTCATTAAAATGACTTTCTATTATTTCATTAATTGAATTCCATTCATGCATGGGAACTCAAGTGCTAGGTCCTTTATTCTCATTTATATTTTCATTGGTTTGGTTTTTTGAGACAGGGTCTCATTACATAGTTCAGGGTGGCCTTGAACTCACTATGTAGCCCAGGCTGGCCTCAAACTCACAGTGATTCTCCTACCTCAGCCTCCTGAGTGATGGGATTACAGCCATGCATCACCATTCCCACCTTTCATTTCTTTTTAATGGATGGAAGAAAAAAATATATATATAGATATAAATATTAAAATCTTGAGACAGAGTCTGGCTAATTTACTAAGTTATTTAGGCTGGACTCAAATTCATGATCTTCCCGCCTTAGCCTCCCAGAGTGCTAGGATTACAGTCTTGCACCACTACACCAGGCCAAATATGCATTCTGATATTTATTGAGTAGCTACTTTGTTCTTTTTTCGGGGGGGGGGTACCAGGGATCGAACTCGGGTCCTTGCGCTTGCGGAGCAGGCGGCGAAACCACTGAGCTAAATCCCCAGCCCGCTACTTTGTTCTTTTGACATTCTGGTGAGTGAGGTATCATGGGAAAGAAACACGTATGTCAACAAATAAGGTAACCCCAGATAGGGATTGCATCTCTATAATATTACACACGCATTCCAGTCTCCTGAATTATTGCATTTATTGTTCTGCATCTTGTTCTGAAGCTCACTGCAAATGATTTCACCCTAATCCTCTGTGTCCCCGATAGGGCATCAGCCCAGACACATGTAGTCCTCTGTCCAGCAGAGGCCTTGGCTTTGAAGCAGTTGTGTTTTCAATGGGCCGCTTTGCATTTTTTCTTTTTTCAGCAATGTAAATGATAGATCCAGTCAGTGAGTCAGTGGTATCATTGATTCACTGCAGTTATTTACAAGGCCAGAAATAACAGAGAAGGACTTTGGGGGTGGGCAGGGGTTTTGTTATGGTAAAGACTTCCACCTTCAGCACCTGGTGATGGGCCACACAGTGGCCCCGCTGAGGGGTCCTTGTCCTGATCCCAGGATCACCTGACGGAAGGGAAGAGGAACTTTGTGGATACGGTTAAGCTGACAGTCCTGCGGAAGTTATCCTGGGTTATCTGTGGGTTTGGCATGATCACAAGGGTCCTTTCAAGAGGACGCTGGGCTGGTGTCCTGATGAGCCGGTGATGGCAGCAGACTAAGACAAGGCAGCGCGAGGCGAGGCCCTGGCCATGGAGCAGGAACCTCTACAGAGGAAATGGCAGGGATTGCCTCCAAGCCTCTAGCAGAAATGGTTCCCGCAGACACCTTGATGTCAGCCCTGTAAACCTCATTTTGGAGACAGGCATGGGCACACTCCTGTAATCCCAGCTCCACAGGAGGCTCCACAGGAGGATAGCAAATTCAAGTCCAGCCTGGGCAACTTAGCAGACCCTGTCTTAAAATAAAAAGGGCTGGGGATGTATGTGGTTCAGGAGTAGAGCATTTGCCTAGCATATATGAGGCCTTGGATTCCAGCCCCAGTACTGAAAAAAAAACCCCTCATTTTGGATTCATGGTCTCCAAAACTGCAAGAGAGTAATTTTGTGTTATTTTAAGCCCCTAAAGGTTGGTAATTGATTACAGCAGCGGTAGGGAACGGCTGCATGTGTGTTTTCATCTAGGTCCACAACAGGAAAATGCATGCATCCTTCTTTCATTCTGGTCGATCTCTTTTGTCTGGTCATTGAACAGATCCTCATCTGGGAAGTAGATCGATGGTGTTGTCCAGGGAGGGAAGGCCATCTCAGAGCAGGAACTCAACCTCCTTTTCTCCGGCTGCTGACACCGGGCCCTCTGTTGGTGCTCCTTTGGAAGTCTCTCCTCAGGTGTCAGAAAAGGGAGCCTTTTTCCTGCTCTCTGTGCTCCCACCTGAGCCTGCTGCCCTGAACCGGAAGTCGAGTTGGATGTGGTGAGGCCACACTGAATATAACCAGTATTTCTTTCCAAGCAGTTAGTTAAGGAATCTGTAAGGAATAAACAATGAATGACTATATGAGGAATTCATTTATCAAAACGTTTATTGCTCACTTTTAATTTGCAATGCATAGAATTCATACCAAGAGCCAAAGATAACTATACATCTTCCCTGCCCTTAGGAAAGACAAATGTGTCCCATGATTCAAAAACAGTGTATCTGATTCCCCAGTAGGAGGCTCCAGTGTGCACAGGGCACAGGTGGGAATTAATTCTGACTAGCAGGTTAGGTTAGAGGTGGCTCCCTATGACACGTGTCCTCTGATCCTGGTTTAGGGTTTTTCTGGCAATGTCATGGGGGAGAAGGGTACTTTGTTTCAGATGGAGGGATGCGTCGGCTAGTGTTCTGCAATGCCGTGTCGCTATGACCTTCTCTACCCTATAGTACCTCTGCTCCTCCCATGGGTCTAGTAAACAAAATGACCTTAGGTTTCATGGAGAAAGAGTGTGGGTAGGAGTCACGCACAAAATACTGCGGAAACCAGAAATTAGTCATGTACGATAAGGGCCATTTCCTTCTAAGTACAGAATTACTGGCTTCAAAGGTGCTACCAGTCAGCCTTCATTTCATTCTGAATAAATTCCAAATGTGCCATTTAATTCTTTTTCGTGTTAACATGCAACCAATGATGGCTGAACATTTATTCTTTTATACTTAGGTGAACCCTGAATGTAACAGTTCATTTTTAAAATTCCAAGAAATTTTACAGAAAAAAAAGGAATTGGTAAATGTCTCTGTAGCATTCCAACCTCTCTGGCCTTTGTCCATGCGCATTTTACAAGACTGTATTGGTGCGGGATGTTACTTGCTTCCCGCCTTCGTACAGTTGTAGTGGACTCACTTTGGAGTTGCTCAAACTCAGCACGTGTCCTGGCTGAAGGGGGCGCCAGTCCTCCCTTTGGTCCTGAGAGCAGTGAGTTCTGTGAGAGGATTCTCCACTGGGGGCCAGAAGCATGAGGTGCAAGCAGAAAAGAAAGACACCCCCCCCTCCCCAGCCTTGTCCCCATGGTTACCCAGGTCCATGTCCCAGTCCTATTTGTTGCTCTTGGGATTCATGATACCTCTGTGTCCTCATAGTAAATTTCCCTTTACTTCCGCTAACTGGCTGGCATTCTGTCCTCCAAAGGAAGCAGTTCCCCAACCAAGACAAATTGCACTGCTGTATCAACACAATGCACATTCTTGCCATTTTTAGTGGTTTCGTGCCCATTCCAAAATGTTAATTTGCCATAGTTTGTCTTGCAGTGACTTGGGTCATTTCCAGTTTTTCGTGCTCATTAATAAGCTGTAATAAACATACAAGGTGTGTTCAAGAATATGGTGTGTGTTTAAATTTTTTAAAGTGTATCATAGTAAAAGACACATTGCCATTAATTTCCTCAAAATACTCCCCCTTCAAACACACTTATCCTATTGTTCCTGCCACTTTCTGAAGTAGTTCCAGACATCCTTTTTCCTGTCTTGAGTTTTGCTGACATGGCTGCTTCAGTGTCCTGAATCAACTCAAAACATCCACCTTCCCTGGTCATTCTGACTTTGGGAAAGAGCAGATTCAGTGAATAAGTGGATGAGGACACGCTGTGATGTTTTTGTTTTTGTTTTTGGTACCGGGTATTCAACTCAGGTCCTTGCGCTTGCGCAGCAGGCGTCGAAACCACTGAGCTAAATACCCAGCCCCATGTGATGTTTTTATGAGCCTGCCTTTCAGTTGGATGACACTGGGCAGTATTTTTATCACAGCTCGTATTTTGAGGGGGATTAATAGCAATGCATTTTTTTACTGTAATGTTTTTAAAAAATTTAAACATTTGTTATAATTGTTGATCACCCCTTGTATTAAAGTTAATTTTCCTCACTAGATAAGGTCAAAAGGTTTACTGCGTTTAAAGCTCTTGTTACATTTTTGCCAGACTCCTCTCCAGCTAAAACGCCGCCAGGCCTTGAAGGGCCTCTATTTCCCACAGTCTTACCTAAACAGAGTTGTACTTTTATTTACTTTGGGTTATGTAAAGGTACTTTGGAATCATTAGCTGGAATTTTAAAATTGCTGATAAAATTTTTATGAGGATCAAAATGGATAATAGATACAAAGACCTGGCACATAGTAAGCTATCGTTATCATTGGTCTTATCGAGTTAACATTCAGACATTGGTCTTATATATTTATGTTTTTTCTTATGCATTTTGCTGAGTCTCTCTCTCTCTGTCTCTCTCTCAATTTGCTTTTTTGTTTTGTTTTTTCAGTACTGGAGATTGAACCCAGGACTCTCTTATGTATTTATTTATTTTTGGTACCGGGGCTCAAACTCAGGACCTTGCGCTTGTGAGGCAGGCAGTGGAACCACTGAGCTAAATCCCCGATCTCCCAGGACTCTCTTACTGAGCTATACCCCCAGGTCTTTTTTAAATTTTGAAACAGGGTCTCAGTAAGTCACTGAGTTGCCCAGGCTGGGCGCAAACTTGTGATCCTCCTGCCTCAGCCTCCCAGAGTGCTGGGATGACAGGCCAGTCCCACACAGCCGGCGATTACTTCTCTTCTGTCCTTCTCGGTAGTGGCTGCTGCCGCAGGGCTCTTTCTTCCATACTCCCCAGCGGGATTTTACTGAGTCTTGTGGCTTTAACACTGTCTGCATGCTGGGAGCTCTCAACTTCCCCTCCAGCACTGGCCCTGGTCTTGTCCTCCACCCAGGGTCGCTGTCCTCTGGACATCTCCGCTTGGGGTGGCGCCTCACTTAGCCCATCCACACTGAACTCGTGCTTCCCCTAAAGCGCGCTCCTCCTCTTGTCTTTCCCACCTCAGTGAATGCCACCCCATCCTTCCGGGCTCCAGCCCAGCACCTTTGTGGCTTATCATCTTTGTCTTTCACGCTACACATTCGGCCTCCAAAATCCTTTTGTGCTTTCTTCAAAATACACGAGCAACTTCTCACCACCTCTGCCCTCCCTGCCCTGGCCAAGATGTCATTATCTCCACCTGCAAAGCCTTGTAACTGGTCTTCCCTCGCATACATTCATCCAACTTCAGAATTTCAGATTTGACCGTGGCTGTCTTTCTGATCAAGAGAAGCCCACTGCGGTCTGGCTCTGAGGTGAGCTGTGACAGGGTGCAGTGGAGGAGGACGAGTCTTGTGAAGAGGGAGGAAGCCACCCCCACAGGCCTCTAGAGAACTCCCTCACTGGCCTTTCCCCCTGTCAGTCCCTGGCAGGATGAGTGACTTACTGGGCTGGTTTAGAACCATCAGGGTCCTTGCTGAGCGGGGAGAGGCTCCTCCACTCTGGTAGGTCGACCCCGGGTGGAAATGGGGAGATGTTGGGTGGACACCCCACACAGCCTGTAGGAAGCAGGAGGTCAGAGTCCGTAAGAGCTTCATTCCCTTTCTCAGCTGTTTGGTGGGGGTGGCCCTGGGCCTGCAGGTTTTGGCCACATACAAATGTGTCCTCTCTTTTTCCCTTCCAGTTGCTCAAGCTTGCACTGTGCCTTACCACGAAGTCCACAGGGGCCCTGTGACTCCACACCTCTGTCACTTCCCCAGGCCCTGACGCTGAGCTTGGGAGGAAGCAGCCTCCACAGCCCTTGTAACCTTTACACTAGAATGTGAAGTTTGCGGTTTCACTTCAGGGCATTGCTAGTTCAGGTTTTATCTGCAAGCCAGCAACTTTTTGTTTATTCCCTTCCATCTTACAGAACACCTTCTAAGAGCCGTGGGTGATACTAAGTTAAGGTGGAGTACTTATGTCCTGAGGATGCCCAAGGGTGAGAAAAGCAAAGGCTGAAAAGGGGAGGGATTCCTATGAGACTGTACCTCTTCCATTTCCCTCTGCAAAAGGTGCTTTTCTTCACCCTCTGCCAGCTCCTCCCCTCGCTGTACCCAGCACAGCACAGCACAGCACCATCCCATGTGGTATCCGGACACTGCCCTGCGTGTTCTGTGAGGGCCTCGTCCATCTGACCTCTGCATTCCCCTGATGTCCCTCCCCTGCCCTGTTTCCCCAGGGAGTTCACGGAAGGGACCCTCGTTTCCGCTCCTAAGGGGCACAAGGTGAGTGGACTAGAAGCAGAGGTCTTCCGGACCTCGCCCAGGGGCAGAGCTGGAAGCAGTCACTGGCTCACCCTCGCCGAAGCCCACAAACTTCGCACCTCCACAGGTCAGCACGCGGGGACCCCACGGCCTGCTCCCTGCACAGCTGGGTGTGGGCCTCACGCATGCAATGCCCAGTCAGGTTGGGGGTGCTGAGAACAGGCCAGGCCTGGGTGCCAGCTGCCTGTGTGTTTTGCTGTTTGTTTGTAAGTGTGTGAGGGGTGTGGAACCCAGGCCTTTGGCCTGAACAACATCTCCAGCTCTTTTTGCTTTGAGACAAAGTTACCCTGAGTTGCCGGAGCAGAGCTGGAAATTGTGGTCGTCCTGCCCGAGCTTCCCTCAGAGAGGGCTGACGTTGCAGGCTTGGGCGCCACCCTGGCAGTATATCTGCTGTGGACCTCATGACAGGTATGTTTACCTTTCAAAATTAGTCAATGGTGAGCAGTCACGTACACTTCTGTTACTGTAGCTGTCAGTTCTCTGTATGGTTTTTTTTTCAGTCCTGAGGAATGAACCGAGGGCCTTCACACCTTCACACCTTCACACTGAACTCTATCCCCAGCTATTTTATTTTGATTTTTATTGTATTTATTTATTTATTTATTTATTTATTTATTTTTTGGTACCAGGGATTGAACTCGGGACCTTGCACTTGCGAGGCAGGTGGCAGAACCACTGAGCTAAATCCCCAGCCCTATAATAATAATTTTAATGACCACATACTTCATGGAGCTCACATGTATCACAGATGATGTGCTGCTTCCTTTCTTGTTGCATATTTAGGTATTTGCAGAGGTCATTAAGCTGAAGAGGGTGCCAGTGACTGCTCCCTGGGGAGTGGTAAGGATGCCTCAGTGAAGGTTCAGGTGCCTATACCATGTGAGGACAAGGGCACCTTAGGTTGGGGTTGTAATAGGACACCAAAAATAAAGCACTCACCTGAGACTAACCCTGATTCTATGTACATAAATGGGTGCACTAGCCTTTAAAAAGAGAAACTTATGAGAACAAAATAACATTGAGACATTTGTACTACTAGGCAAACCAAATCCATTACTATCGGCTCCAAAAGCCAGAGCCCTTTAGTCACTAAACATATGACTCCTGTTGAGTCCCAAGTCTGGCATGGCCGCTATTGGCATTTCTGCTTGGTGGGTAGGAAGTGGCAGTGCTGGGGCCTGCCCTGGGTAATTTCAGGACTTCCTGCTCCCCCAGGTTTTTTTTGGTACTGAAAAGTGAACTCAGGGCCTTCCCACTAACCTACATCTTCAGGCCTTTTTTAATATCTTATTTTGAGAGATAGCCTTGCTAAGTTGCTAAGTTGCCCAGGGTGGGTTCAAACTTGTAGTCCTCCTGCCTCAGCCTCTCAGAATGCTGAGATCACAAGCATGCGCCACCATACCCAGCTTCCCCTGGTTCTTTATTCCACAGAGACAGCCACGTGGTCCTGCCCAAGCAGCTGGGCTCATGTTACTATTGGTTAAGGGAGGGTTAATTGTGAACACGGATTGTTAGTCCCCACCCACAGAGAAGTAGATCTAGGATGGAGCCGAGGAGCGAGCACTTTGACGAGGCAGGCGGTAGAACCACTGAGCTAAATCCCCGGCCCTATTGACGAGTGTACCCGATACAGCTGCCAACCAGATATGGCACAGTGAGAGACTTAAAGCCAGGCTGTTTCCAGGATGGAACCTGCTCCTGAGTGATAGCTGGGTCCCTGCCAGTGTATTCTGCCAGCTCTCAGGGAATGAGGCTTCTGCTTGGCTCTTTTTACCCTCTCAAGTCCCCCGTGGGCCCCATAACTGGCTCACAGACCTCTATTGTACCAGCTGCTCGAAAGTGGGTGACCACCTTTGCCTTGCATCCGTACTCACACCGCCTGGCTGCCAGGGGACTCCGCGCGTGACCCTTAAAGTGACGCCCACCAATCTACATCCTCTGTCACCTTCCAAGCATGCCCTTCCCCCAGCACACACAGAGCCCTGTGCTGGGTTTCTCTGTCCTGCTGCTGGGTCACTCTATGCCCAAGCATGTCTTATCCCCTGCTTCCTCTTGGCCGTGCCCACCCTGCTTGGAAAGAACTATTCTCAGGCAGAGCCTGGACAGACGGACCTGAAGCTTTCTGGAGCACCATGTTAGCAGCTGCTGCACTTCTTCCAGCTCCTGCTTCCAAGGCCTCTCTGAAAAATAGCATCAGTGCCTCACCCTCCATCCCAAATCACATCCTTCCAGCGCTCCATGGCGCTCTTGTCTGTGCTTCTGTCCAGGGTGTTTTGACATCTCTGGGCTTAAGAAGTCCAGACTGCACTGTCCAGTGGCTGCTTGCTGTTCACAGACATGGGCTCTGCCCATTGCCTGCAGGTGAGCAGGAAGCTGTGCAGCTGTATGTGTGTACGTAGTGCCACAGTCAGTCAAGCCAAGAGAATGTGACGTGGTTATGATGCCTTATGATTATGCGCCAGATGGGAGACAACAGATGGGAGCCATGAGCAGCAAGCTGTAGTCCTAGTGATATATTGCGGATGACTCAGCGATGTATTTATGAGTCAGGTCTGACCTCTGATTCATAACCAATAAGATACAAGCCTGTCACTGAGTGTTGTGCCTGCAGTGGGCTCTTTTTACCACTGGAAGGAAGCCACAGGAAGAGTGTTTTCACCTTTTTCTTTTTCTGAGTAGCTTAAGGCTACCTGGGAAGGGGCCAGAAGCCTTCGGAGGTCCTGAAGTCTGAAAGAAGGTGGAAGAACAGGAAGGAAACTGCTTACTGACAGTCTACTGTGTGTTTGGTTCTGGGTTGAGCACTTACACTCACCTTCCATGTGATCCTCGTAGACACCTGAGTTACAAATGAGGATGCTGGGAACCAGGGTGGTAGAATGACTGTCCAGGATAACGGAGCTAAGATGGGGCAGAGGACAGATTGCACCAGAAGGCCGTCTGACTCCAAAGCCTGTGCTTACACACACACACACACACACACACACACACACCCACCCCAGAGAGGGAAGGTGAGGGCTCCTCATGAAGCTAGGCTTTACTCTTACCAGGGCCCAGCTGTGTTCTTACCCATCCCCAAACACAGCTGTACAGCACGCCACACTTCACACGGCCATGTGTGCATTTCCCAGCAAGCCTGACACTTCCGAAGCTTGTGTGGCTCCTTTCTTTCCCAAATGTGAGGTAACTAAGTGTTCTAGGGTCAGCCTTGACTTTTCTAAAAGACTTCATCAGATCTCGAAGTTGAGGGTGTCTGGAAATGGAGATGTGTGGGTGCCAGGTGGGCGCACTGGTGCCCAAATTGCCTTGTACCCCGCTGATACAGCCGGCACCACACATCTAGGTCAAAGTCATATTGATGTTTGTTTGTTTTTTTAACATTTTTTTTTTTTTGGTACTGGGGATCGAACTCGGGTCCTTGTGCTTGTGAGTCAGGTGGCAGAACCACTGAGCTAAATCCCCGGCCCGTATTGATGTATTTTTATTCATTTAACTATGTCACTTAAAAACATATCATGATACACAACAAAACTGAAAATGGGCTGAACAGTATTTGTACACTAGTGTCTAAAGGGGCATTATTCACAATAGCAAAAGGTGGAGGCAGTCCAGCATCTACCCCCTACAGAGGAATAAGCACAACGTGGCCTGTCCATGCAGTAGGACATCAGTCAGCCTCGAAAAGGAAGGGAATCTTGTCATGTGCTACAGCACAGAGGGCCTCAGAGACCTGCTACGTAAAGTAAGCCAGTCACAGAAAGAAGCACTGTCAGGTTTCATTTACGTGCGATACCAGGGGAGAAGACATTCAGAGATGGAGGGTGGATGCTAGTTACCAGGGGCCGCAAACCTTATTGTTTAAGGGGTACAGAGTTTCGTCTGGGGATGGTGGAAGATTCTAGAGATGGGTAGTGGCCATAGTTGCACAATATAAATGTACTATAAAATTGGTTTTAGTGGTTAAGTTTTATGTTATGTGCATTTTACCACAATTAAAAAAAAACCCAAACCACTGAAAACAACAGTCCAAAGCTGCCAGTGTCTTGTCTTGTAGAGCAGCTGTCTGCTCACTGAGCTCCGCCCAAGGGGCACAGCCCCGCCACCCAGCTTGGCAACCAGGGGTGCAGAAAGGCTCTCTCCAAGCGCGTCCTTGAAACCTCCCAGGAGCCCCATGTCCCGCCCTCCCGTCAAACGAGCTGCATCATTGCCCATGCTGGTAATCACCATCATTCGCCGCTTCTGCTCACAGTGCCAGCTGGCTGCACTGTGGAGTCCTGCTCCCAACTCAGTAGGGACCGCCGTGTGGCCTGGAAATCCCGTTTGTCCCAGCCCGGCTCCAACGGGACCAGGAGCTCCTTGTTCACTGTGGCTCTTCCAGAGTCTCTGGCTATCAGTTTTCCAATGTTCCCATTGTGCCCACAGCAAAATCTCCCCCTTCCCAACTTCATTTTGGGTGATGATCCATTTTTCTCCACCCACACTTTTTGTTTTGCTTGGAGCTGATGCCCCAGTGTGATGAGAGCCTCTCATGACCCTCTCCATTCCTTATTTTAACTCAGCAGCAATGAGTTCAGAGTGTTCTGAATAAGCTTTGCCTGATAGGAAATCTCTGTTATTAAAAAAAAAATTAACCCCACTGCCTTGGAGGCTCACGTGTCTGTGTCCTGATAAAGCTGGCTCACTAAAGCCTTGCTCCCTCTTTTGCATGCATTAATGCTTAGTTTGTTTTCTTCCACCAACATTTGACCCGAAACATACTCAAAGGTATGCACCCTGAAAGCGCCAGTAAGCTCATTGAAGTTTATCCTTATGTTGTGACTGTGCTCTCCGCTGCCCCATAGCCTGGCTCTGCCCGCCCTGAGCTCTTTGGTGAGGACCCTCCACGCTGCCTCCCCTGCTGCCTTCCTGCAGTCCATGCCTCTGTCCGGCCACACTTTCCACCATTCGTTTCTTTTGACTCCTGCATGCTGTTCTCTAAGTTTCTGCCATCAGCCTTCTCCTCAGACCCTTCTGCTTCCAGCTGCAGCCCATTCGGTGGACACCTGTCCACTCTAATCCTGACTGCTCTCCTGAGCTCTCACCTAAATTTCCACTGCCTGTTAGGCCTAGCCACTTGTGCTCCATGCTCCTTTCTCCTGGGTTTCCCATTTCCATCATCATCTTCATCACTGCTGTCTCCCCAGCTTTAAGCCCTAGACAAGTTAGCCCTGCCCCTCACACCTGCTGTATCCTTTCCATCCCAGCCACTGAAGCCCTTGCCCAGCTAAGTGCTTTCTGCCTCTCCCTTGCCTAGCTTCTTTGCTTCATGTCTTCCCTACCTTGATTCTGCCTCCATGCTCCTGTCACTGAGCCTTCCCCTAACACACAGCCAGTCCCGGCTCCAAGCTCCCTTTCCTGCCAGATTTCTCCTC